TGAACACTGGAGAAAGCTGGTCTGCACAGTGCCTCAGTGTGGAGGGGGAGACAGCGTCGGGTCCAGGTGCCTTGCGGGGGTTCAACTTCTTCAGAACCTTGTTTACATCCCTCTCCTGAATAGAGAGAGGTGTGATGGGGGGGAGGGGGGTTGAGTCTATCAAATGTCTTTCTACCTTTTCTGTAATATTCAAGGTGATTATCTCTCACAGTGCTGTTTATAACGGTCCACATCAAGTCCCTCGACTTCTCTAAGTGTGAAAACAGATAAATATATCATAAATATGAGAACTGTAGTGTTTGGAGATTATATTTTATTTGTTATTATAATCTAAACTGTCATGTATTTACACACCTGAAACCTCTAATTCACTGTAAATTCCTTAACATGCTAAATAAACGAGGTGGGAATAGTAACAGTGGTTATATGAGCCTGTATCAAAACATATGTGAAACATAAAGTTACTATCACATGAAACTTATATATCTAGCTAATAATTAAAATTACAACCAAGTAACAATCACTTCAAACTGTTCATTAAACGTGTTCAATAAATGGTTATGGTGATAAATTATCACAATTACATATTAAAAACCACTTGAGGCATGCAAGCATATGTAGTATGATTAAGATAATCAATAAATCAATAGGTTTTATTGTTGTATAGTTTCAGAGTAACTTACCTCTTGTTAAGTTTGTTGTGATGACTGCGACCATCCCGAAACATATACACCACAGCACTGGCAGGTTAGCAGCAGTGGGTAGCTCCTTAGCCTGAGCTAACCAGGTAACATTGAGCTCTGTGGGCCACCTCAGCTCCACTCGCACTCCTCCTCTTTGCCCATTTATGAGTTAGCCAGGAACTAGGAGGAGTCAGGGACTGGTAAGATGGAGCCAGGTGAAACGCCCACTGAGAGCCCAATTTTCCCTCTTTAGAAACCAAAGGTTGACGTCATGGACACATGACTAATTTTGACACAAAGATCTGTTCAAACTGGGACTCTGATCATAGGTGGGGAAATTTGGGGCTGATTGGACAATGTACAGTGAAGTTATGATGACACTCACTGAATCTAAAGTTTATCTGATGAAATTCTATGAGGAGTTAGTTAAAGGTTCAATGTGTAGAATTTAGTGGTAAATTTGCATGTTGCAGCCATAGACTGTATATAAAGAGGTTGCAGCTGAATACCCTCACCTTACCCTCCCCTTCCAAACATAAAAAAACATGTTAGCCCTCAATTTTCATGAAAACTCAAAAGGTGTTTAGTTTGTACAGTCTGGACGAAAAAATGGTGGTCTCCGTAGAGAGGACCCCCCTCCCGATGTAAATATAAAGTATTTTAATATAAAGGGGCAATTTAGGGTAAGGAAACATTTGTATAATTTAGATGAAACACAGTAGTGAAAACATTGCTAGGATTAATTTATATTAAATTTTTGCAAATAGATCCCTTTCACCTAAATCTTACACAGTGGACCTTTAAAATACATGTGTAAATTGTCAAAAATTTTATTCAAAATGGCTGACTACCAGTTTGGTCTCGCAGTTTTGTTCTCCAAGATTGTTTTTTGTTCGTAATGATATGACACATGTCCCTGGGGCTGCTCTTTAGAGAGTGCTGTTGAGCTATTTTGCCACACCTATTCCTTAAAACCATATGAAAGTCTTTGCAGGGGTGTTACACACATGAAGCACTTTCATGTGTCAGGGCGACTCATTGAAATTTGAAGCCCAGCCATAAACAAGATGTTCACCGAAAACTCACAGTTCTGAAACAGTTTCATCATCAATGTTTAGGCCCTCTACAAAGAAAATCACATAAGCAGATGCTGTCAAGATGGTGAACCAGAGGAGAGGTAGACAGTCAAGATACAGAAATGAAGAACAACATACTAAACAGCCAAAAGAGGGCTACACATAGGTTGATGTAAAGAAATGAGTCACTTTTACAGCAGGATTCATAAATGCTGCAATGGAAACTAAATAAAAAACGGAAAGAATACAAATAATAGTAAAAGCAGCTGCATATCATCTGAACATTATTGAACAAACTTGGGAGGAAGTGAGAAACGATCTCAGTGCATAGGCAAGCCAAGAGGCAACATGGGTTGGGTGAAACATGGTTTTAATATTACAATGGAATACAAGGAGTTTGGTGGCAAATGGACAACGTTATTAATCAATTATCCAGTATCCCGGACATTGTTTGTCTGCAAGAAACATGGTTGAAACTAAATCTGGAATTTAGAATCCTCAATTATACTGCGGTTAGGTGTGAAAGGATAGGAGGAGGATGTAATACATTTATTGAAGAAAATATGCCATTCAGAGTTGTCAGTAAGGGGAAAGACAAAGAAGAATATATTGTGGTAGAAATATGGACAAGGAAGGTCAGTTTAACATCATAAATAGAAATCAATAAAATCAAGCAGACAGAAGGACAGACTAGTATTCATATCATTTGGTTTGGGGATTTTAATTCACATAACACATTGTGGGGAGGGAGAAAGACAGACACAAATGGGGAGATAATAGTGTGGGCTCCTGCCAAATTTCTCAGGGGGGGCAATTGTTGCGATGATGGCTAAGGTTACCTGTCTAATGGGTAAATAAACTCAAGTCAGCGAAACATTGTCATTACGTACATTTGCATTTTATTTTTTTCAATACCACCAGTAACCACAAGACAAGGATTTTTCCTTAGGCTTCATACTGTACAGTCATTTTATAGACAGGTCTTCAATAAAATTACTTTGGCTCTAAAGTGACTCCAAAATCAATTGTGGTCAACAGATAAATTATCATCCATGAGTACCTTTGAATATGAAGAGAGACCTGTTTGTATTAATAAAATAACTGAGTCTCACAATAATCAGATTCAGAACATTTTATTTAAGGCTACATTTATTTTGTAGCTTGTTTTGTAGTTATTAAACAAAGACATTAATGTTACTAAAATAAACAGTCCTCCTAACTCAGCTGAACTCTAGCTCTAAACAATAAAACACATGATAACAGTCCAAGATTTACATGGTAACCAGTCCGTTACAATAGTAAAAATGCTACTCACACATCAGAATTATTTATAAATTATAGGATACCTAATTATATAAAACTCTGTCTAACTAGTATTTCTATCTGTCTGTAACCTTGGATGTTTGATGCTTTTTCACCTTCTCTGAGAAATGACGCATAGTTGTCCATGCGGTGTCCATGCTGCTGTCGGGATGACATAAAATGCAGGGGTAGCAAAATAAGGCATTAGCTATCATAGCCACGGCGTGATTGGAACACCAAGATGCAAGTGCAACAGCTTACGTATGAAGAAATCACCTCAGTGCGAGCCCACCCATAGAGATTGCACTGCAGCGCCTGCAGTTTGATTTGACACTGGTATTAGGTTAGGTTGCATGGAAATGTGAGTGGGAAGTATGGGAAGACTCAACAATTAGAAGTGACCACTACCCAATATTCAGTAACATACACATAGGCCGGGAAGTAAAGGTAGAAAGAGTGGATATTCAGTTAAGCTAAATGGGATCAATTTCAGCACTTACAGTATATGAGATAGGAAAGATAAATAAATAGTTCTTAAAGAATTAAAGAGTTCTTAAAGAGAATTTAAAAAAAAAGCTGAATATAAAAAGGCACAGGCTCAAGTAAGGAAAGAAAGAAAAGCGAGAAAGTTGGAGGAAATTCAGTATTGAAGCAGACAGCTCAAGGAGAGAAGGGTTAGGGTTAAGGCCCTCACATTATAAGCGTTGAGGGGTCTGGGGGCCATAGTGGTTAGCTCTGCCATAAGCACCCAGAGGCCTACTGGTCAGCTTGCACTGTGTGCACTGAGGGACCTTGCATTCAACGTTCTTTTGAAGTCTTGGGTCACGCATTGTACACAGCCTGGGGCTTGGAGGCCCCGGGACACTGGCCCGGTCCATAATCTATGCTTTGGCTGTGTCAAAGTCGGGTGGGGTTGCCATGGCAACTTTAGTTGTCAAAGTAGTGATATGACCATTAGCTGTGACTTTCTTATGAAATCGTGTGTTTTCCACTGTTAAATCTTTAAACCTTTGAAGGCCTTTTCAGTAGTTTATTCACAAGTGTAATAAAACCTAGCGTGTGCTTGTTTGTTTGCATGCTTGCTGAGAGCACTACAAATCCAGAAATGAATGCGTCAGGCTGTAATTTGGATTTGAAGGCGTTTTCTTAATGTTTACATTTTTACACCATGTTTTGTGCCTACGTTAAGACAAGAAAGGAAAAAATATAATTTTCGTTAAACATTGAATAGATTTTATTGAAATAGTAACTCTCACTTTTATTGATGAAAACATTATCAAATACTGTAAAATAAACCCACTCACCCACCCACTCAAATCAACTTGCTTTATCAGCATGACTGTTTGAATATAGTAATGTATTCAGTAGTATTCAGAGGCAGTATTTAGCATTCACTATCATTTGTCTTGTCTCGGAGAGAATATATGTGTGTAATTTAAAAATATGTGAAATTTGAAAATATCCTGTTTTGAAAGTTTTTTAAATCTAAAGTTTATTTGAAAATGGTAAACATTTTTAAAGTTATATGTGTAAGAATTGATTTTAAGATTTTATTGATCACTTTTAAGGCCCTTCATGGCCTTGCTCCCTGCTACATTGCTGACCTTTTAGAATCATACACACCAGTACCCACATTGAGATCCTCGGCCAGAGGTCTCTTGTTTGTTCCAGAGGCCCGGCTGAAAACTAAGGGTGACAGAGCATTTGCAGTGTGGGCCCCAAGGCACTGAAACAACCTGCCCGAGGAAAGCAGCTGACTCAGTAAACTCTTTTAAGTCCCTTCTTAAATATTGGAGAGCCTTTCCTGAACCCTGAGTCTTTACTTTCCTATACCTGTCATAATTTATTTTACTGAGCATTTTAAACAGCATTTGTATTTATATACTAATGTATTTTACCTGTTTCTTCTAAACCTGATTTTTTTAACATGCTGCCTTTGGAAAGCACTTTGAAACATATGTTTTGCTCTATAAATAAAGATTATTATTATTATGGTGCTAAAGTATTGACTGGTCTACTGACAAGGTGTTTCAGGAGCTTCAGGAGCATTGTTTTTTTGGAAAACGCTAGAGGATAAGTAAAAACTGCATAATTGTCATGTCGTCCTAAAGTAATTTTTTCATCAATGTCTGGTGAGAGTGATTATTCTGAGTGATATTTTTTTTTAAGCATTCAGGCTTCACAGCCAATTACTCTAAAGATTAATTACCTTTTTCATTTTAAACACAGTGGTCGCTGGTCCCATAGTGACACCCGGTGGAAAAACAGCCCGGTCATTAACATGTTGCAGCACTTTGTACTACCGCTGAATCCTATAAGGATTGTTACATGTTTTTCATGAAAGTTATTATCATCATAGGCATTACTTGGTATGACTGCCAGACTTTTGTCAGACCTCAAACTTTTTTGACAGTTTGTTAATAAAACTCTTATCAAAATAAAAGATAAGATAAAATTCTCTCTCTCTGAAGTTCTTCCTCTCAGGTTGATGGCTTTGTGTTTGAAGGACTTTGTGTGCCTGGGATGACTGCTCACACAAGTGAGGATGAGACCCTCTTTTCGGCAAGTCTGGCGAGCAGCAGTGTCACTTGTAGGAGATAACAGGACACATCAACCCCACAGGCCAAGACGAAGATAAAGACAGGATAGATGGACCATACAGCCAAAAGTCTGTCCCATGTTAGTGTAAAAACAGAAGAAATTTAAATGCTAAGGCAACTGTACATTTAGCAAGTGTTATGCTAAATGAGGTACTGTAAGTCAGCTGTTTTCTTAACAAATCAGTGTAACTGATGGCAACTTCAGATGAACTTCTGTTACTGCTGCCTATTGATTTGTACTTAACATCTCTATAATGAAGTAAACTTAATGCATATGTATTTGTGGAGCAGAGCATACGGTAGAGTAATAAAAATACTGAAATGTTTTAATTATTTTGTGAATAGATACTCTTTCCTTTTCTTAGGCTGTAGGTGATGTAAATCATTGGAATGGGTATCTACAATATGACTGTTCACGTGCCAGCCGTTCTTTGTCTTCATTACATCTATGGAGTGGGTGCTTGAGCCAATCCCAGCAGGGACAAAGGACAGGAGGTCGGGTACCCTTTGGAGATGTCATCAGTCCTTTACAGGGCCAACAAACACGTCAAAGTCTTCTTTCAAACATAAGATAGGTTGTCAAACAGCCATTTTTTTGTTTTTATGAAAAGGATTTCCACCTGTCAAATGGAAAGTGATGTAATCTTGAACTGGCGTAAAACACAAAAGGTCCAGATTAAAGCACATAGGAAACGTGTAGAGTTCATGAGGACAGTCTGGAATTTGGGAAACAAACATGACTTCACTCACTGTCCATTGTACCTAAAAGTGAAGTGTCTTCCTGTTAGTAACATCAGATTGATTGAGGTCTGTCATAAAAAACAGTTACTGGATAGGCTTTCAATTCATCCAAAAGGCTATGAAATGTAAGACATTGTAAGGACTGTTAGAAACATTTTACTAAATATTGTTGGAAAGTAACTTCTTTCATTCTTCAGTGCTCAAAATATCAACAAAAAAAAATTCTTGGTATTGTATAAGTAGTATTGTAACAGGGTCGATACAACATACACTACTTCAAAAATAAAAAGTCTTGTGTACAACTTTTTTTCTTTGCTTTTTCTGAGAGACTAGTATTGTAATTACAATAAAAAAAATGATAATTAAAAGATTTCAATGTGTAATGAGGTCTGATACAGTCACATTGGGTAATGAAATCTTCCAACTCAGCCAGCTACCCTCTTTGCTCTCATGTCTGCTGCTGATGCTGCTCCAACATGACTTCACAGGTCCGTCCCAGTTCTCCCAGTTTGACCTTAGCGTACTCTGCTCTGTTTAGTGCCATCTGACAGTCCTTCCTTGCTGAATAAGTGGAGCCCTCATGAGGTTGACCAGTAGCTACCTATGGAAATGAACAGGAGAGTTACCTTTATGACACATCAAAGTATGATGCACAAGATAACTCTGCAAATAATAGAGATGAACATTTTATTTTTCCAGGTATCTCTACACTATAGACCTAAACCTAAAGCTTATATAGACTGAAAAAATGTATAATCATATAAGAGGGGTGGTCAGAAAATTACATCATATATAGTAATAATGCATTAACTTTCTAACCCTAACCCTATAAGACTAGAAACACGATATACAGCTTATTTAGGTCAACCAATCAAAAATGTCATAATATGGGCAGAATATACATATACCCATTGATGCTCTTCATTAAAATTGTATTTATTGTTTTTGTGAAGCCCATCTATGTCACAAATTTGTTGAGCAATACATCTTAATTGTAAAATAGTGAGAAAAAAACTTGAACTAAAAATGTACATCTCTCAGTTATTTATATTTTACTGTATTTGATGTGTATACTGTTGAATTCAATTAAAGTTACATTTCAAGGTGTTTCAGACCAGCTTTCCCACTCGTATTATGTGTTATATGAAAATATTGATACAGATATATTGAGCAGAATATCCAGACATATGTAACTATGACTACTTCAAAGTTATACATATAATAGCTGTGTTCTTGTTAAGGTGAAACACCCTCTGAAACAATACTTGCACCATGAGGCACTTAAGCTATGTTGGGCAAATAAAGAAAAACTAATACTATTGCAATGTGTTTGACCTGTGTGAGGTAGCGGATCTGGGTGCTCAGTTCATTCTCCACTCGGTTGACAGAGCTTTGGAATTGGACAAGCTGTCGGTCCAGGAGGCTGGCATTGTGTTTGTCTTTGGAGAGTTCCAGAACTATATTGCCTGCAATGGTAAGCAAACAACAATATATCAATTTAGGACTGGACACTGTGACCATAATAAAAGCATCTGATGCCTAAAGCTACTGGAAAGAAGAGTAATGAGAGCTGAGTTTAACAGCCAGGAAGTCAAGAATAATGTCATATGAATGTAAAACTTTTTTTCATTCAGTTTGTCTGATTGGGGAAAACTGAATGCATGAACCAATAATACACCCCACAGCATTTATAGCCTAAGCTAAGGTAGGCATTTAGAGAGACTGCAGTCAACAAGGAACTTAACAACTAATATTAAACATATGCCCCTTTCAGACACTAGATGTGAAACATAGCTATTCGTTAAAGGTTCATTGTGTAATATTTAGGAACATTTAGCAGCGGTTGCATGATTATAACCAACTGAATAGCTGTAAGTATATGTTTGTGTAGACCTTATCTCCTCTACAACTTAGGTCACTAGTGTTTTGTGGTTTATGAACACTTAAATGCATGCGTGTATCTTCAGTGTTCCTATACACCTTGGGTTTAAGCAACCCTGCACTTACTAGGTAGCACGCAGATTTAGTAAAGTATTTGAATATAAAGGGCCTTTTCTGGGGTAAAGAAAACTACAATTCATACAATTTAGATGAAATGAACTAATGAAAACATCATGAGGATTTGTCTACATGTCAATAGTCCCCTTTCACCTAAATCTAACACACTGGACCTTTAAGACACACAATTAAAATAATAACATGGAGCTGTGTTTTTCAACCGGTGAACTACACAAATCAGAAAGGCTCTAGCTCCACAACAACATACAAGACTAATTATGTGTGCCTGATGTGCAAAGCATAAGGCACACATTTTATTGATCGCCATACGTATTATTATTATAATTGTTTATTCCGATGTGAAAACCACAAGGCAAACATATGATTATTTGCCATAATTCTTCCGTATGGATTTTTGGGACGCTACTTACCGGCACACTGCAGGGTCATCGCTATCTCTTTCTCTACCTCCTCCAGAGCTCTGAGCCGCTCATTAGCCATCGCTGAGCAGGAAACAGCTTCTTACAGCAGCTCTCCAAGAACAAATAGTAACCAGAATTAGTCCAGACAGCCCAGCTCGGTGCAGACAGGTCTAAATCTAAAGGTACCCGGTTCTGAACTAACGACCAGAGTTGCTCAACAACTAAGAGCTCACTAAATAGACGTCATCTAGTCGCACAGTAGTTACGTCAGCTTGGCGGACAGGCAAAATGGCTACATCGACTTGGCTGCATGGCCCTTCTGCCATGCGACTAACCGAGGGTTTGGTGTCTGTTCTGAAAGAACACCGTCCAGAATATGTACCTGCCTTGCTGGCCAGCTACAGAGAACATGGCGTGTTCCCAACACAGGTAGTGGCCAAGCCGTTGAAGCTCATTACCTGACATTAGTTTCTCCGTTAGCTTACAGGCTTTGTTGTTCACTGAGCTGGCGTCTGGAGTTACAGTAGCACCGTGTGCCACAGAAGCTTCTGGGGTTGATTACTTTGATTTGCTTTTACTGATAGTTAATGCCTGTGGTTTATTTCTCCAGGGTGCGAGCGCCGTCGGGGGTCTCGTGGGTTTTAGCAATGCCAAACTCGGCTCGAGCAAGACCAGGTGAGAAGAACAATGTTTCACGTCAGCTGTCGTAATTTTTCAGTCATTGCTAAGCTAACGGTGCAAATGTTAACGCTGTAATGTTATTGTGTTGTGTCTCCTGTGTCACCTGGCCAGTATATACATCAATGTTATTCTCAGTTTGATTCATCTCGAGTGGCGCTATCTTGTGCATCACATGGCAAAAGTGAATATCTGATAGATTAAAATACCATAGTTATGTTGTGAAAGACGTAATTCAAGCGATTTGTTATGAATTTTCACACAAATATATATGATCGCTACAGTGCCTTCATGAAAAATTGATATGGTATCAAATTATCTTTCATTTTGAGGTACATCATTTGAGGTAAACTGTGTCAGAGAAGTAAATGTGGTTGTTGACAGCCGGTGTTTGAAGTGTAGAGGGGTAAAAGAGAGTGTATACCCACTTCCAAATCGCCTCTTGTGCCCATCATTCATTCGTCAAGCCATTTTTATTAAGGTAATGAAAGAATCACCTGCCTTACTCTGATTGGTTAGTTAGGATAAGAATATCAGAGTAAGCCAGTCAGAGGCTGAGTGGGGCGGGTCATATCTGTGTTTGTAATCCTGTTAAAACAATATCACCTACCCTTTTCCTGACCTCTGATTAACAGAACTCATTAAAAATACGGCTAAATTCAGCTTCTAATCAAATTCAAAATATGAAAGGAACTACCCCCCAAAACATTTTAGCAGACGGTTCATGATATTGTGCTCGCCAGCAGCTCACGTAGTGATGTTAGTTCAGCGCTCACCAGTGTGGGCTGATTCTACAGAACCAGGTAAATTATGATGACATGCAGTGTATCTATTTATATAGTAATATTTGTAACATTTGCATATTTTAATACTTTTAAACTTGATAAATAATGATAATTTAATATTGGTGGCACACTGGCTTACACTGTCTGTAAATCAACTAATCCATGTGAGAGGTCACAAAAGAAACATCTGGCCCATAGACTACTTAATTGACAAAAAATGCATCATCATGTAGTTGCATTACTCTGAAGTCTGTGGGCTATAGTATTGATGCAAAGTCTTTCTGGGTGAACTGAACATACAAGAGTAGTCTTACATGTCAATGTTTATAACATACAACGTTTATACTTTGCTGGAAAGGCTGGAAAAAACCCCCACTTATTCTAAAATTTGATCTGATGAAGCAGTAGGTGCAAGTTTAATAAGTTTAATACTCAACCAAACTTCTTAGAAGACATTGCAATCAAATAAGTGGATGGAAAGGAAAAG